TGTTATGACAATAAATGTGATTTGCTTGTTGCAAAGAAAAATGACATATGCTGCGAATATTCTACCGTTTGTATACAAATAAACAGGTGCATTTGCATATATAAATAAAAACACATACATATATATATATACATATACAATCATATACATATATGAGCCACGGTCGAATTTTTTATTTGCATCAAGTGCGCCATCAAGTTAGTGAGCCCCCTATCGTTTTACAGGCTTCCTGTTTTTCCATATTTTGGCCAGTATTTACCTCTGTTTAAGCATAGCTTTGAAGCGCGTCCACTTGGGTCCTCATACCTAGCAATCTTTGTTTGCGCGCGTTGGAGCGCACTTGTGCTTTTGCCCGTGCCTGTCTGGTCCTCCTTCGCGCTGCTTGAGCGGTCAATTCACCCAGCAAGCCTTTTGGAATTTGGCATGCTTTGGCCACTCACAGCTGCCCACCTCAAAATTTATCCGGCCGGGGCATAAAACTTGAGTCCATCACTACAACATACTACCAACATCCACCACCTGTTCCGCCTGTTTTCTGTTTTGTGACCAGTCGGTCACCCGGGGCGCTTTTGGAAAGATTTTAGTATCGTTTGGGCATCGTTTTGGGTATCGTTCTGCGCGGGCTCCATCTTTGCAAGTCACATGCATGCGAGACTGAGTGAATAGCTCTCCGCGGTCTACCAAAGCTAGGCCCGGCAGCAAAACGAGATACTGCATGGAGTTGGCCACTCCAGCATGCCTACACTGCCTGCGAATAGATGCATGGTTTCCGTAATCTGAGCTACTCGGTGCCGAGTTGAAGCAGCCCACCTAGGTGGCTAAAGTATTGTAAAATCATGTAAAGTCAAGCCACCGCATGGGCACACCCATTCATGGTGAAGTGGATCCAAACGTGACAAAACAACCCTGCCTAAGCAAACATTATGCCCACACCCCAAAACGCGCAAGCATGCGCAAACAAAAAAAGCATCGTTTTTTGTGAGTTTCCTCTCGTTTGAACAGATTTCATGCGACGGCCACCATCCGATGCACACTCCAGTAAAGACTTAATCAGCGCAAATTTTGACGGAATCTCATAAATAAATAAATATATATATATATATATGCATATACATGTAATATATATATATATATACACAATATGCACAGACGCACCGACGCAAGAGCTTCCCCTTACGCAGCACGGTCGACGCACGGATACACCGACACACACACACAGGATTCCGGCGACGACCGGCCACGCAAGAGCTTCCCCTTACGCAGCACGGTCGACGCACGGAAACACATCGCAGGATTCCGGCGACGACCGGCCACGCAAGAGTCTCCCCTAACGCAGCACGGTCGACGCACGGACACACATGTCATCGAGCGCAGGATTCCGGCGACGACCGGCCACGCAAGAGCTTCCCCTTACGCAGCGCGGTCAACGCACCGATACACATTTCATCGAGCGCAGGATTCCGGCGACGACCGGCCACGCAAGAGTCTCCCCTAACGCAGCACGGTCGACGCACGGACACACATGTCATCGAGCGCAGGATTCCGGCGACGACCGGCCACGCAAGAGCTTCCCCTTACGCAGCACGGTCGACGCACCGATACACATTTCATCGAGCACAGGATTCCGGCGACGACCGGCCACGCCAGAGCCGCAGCACGGTCGACGCACGGACATGCAGCCACACACACACACAAAGGATTCCGGCGACGACCGGCCACGCAAGAGCTTCCCCTTACGCAGCACGGTCGACGCACCGATAAACATTTCATCGAGCACAGGATTCCGGCGACGACCGGCCACGCCAGAGCCGCAGCACGGTCGACGCACGGACATGCAGCCACACACACACACAAAGGATTCCGGCGACGACCGGCCACGCAAGAGCTTCCCCTTACGCAGCACGGTCGACGCACCGATACACATTTCATCGAGCACAGGATTCCGGCGACGACCGGCCACGCAAGAGCTTCCCCTTACGCAGCACGGTCGACGCACGGAAACACATCGCAGGATTCCGGCGACGACCGGCCACGCAAGAGTCTCCCCTAACGCAGCACGGTCGACGCACGGACACACATGTCACCGAGCGCAGGATTCCGGCGACGACCGGCCACGCAAGAGCTTCCCCTTACGCAGCACGGTCGACGCACCGATACACATTTCATCGAGCACAGGATTCCGGCGACGACCGGCCACGCCAGAGCCGCAGCACGGTCGACGCACGGACATGCAGCCACACACACACAAAGGATTCCGGCGACGACCGGCCACGCAAGAGCTTCCCCTTACGCAGCACGGTCGACGCACCGATACACATTTCATCGAGCACAGGATTCCGGCGACGACCGGCCACGCCAGAGCCGCAGCACGGTCGACGCACGGACATGCAGCCACACACACACACAAAGGATTCCGGCGACGACCGGCCACGCAAGAGCTTCCCCTTACGCAGCACGGTCGACGCACCGATACACATTTCATCGAGCACAGGATTCCGGCGACGACCGGCCACGCCAGAGCCGCAGCACGGTCGACGCACGGACACGCAGCCACACACACACACAAAGGATTCCGGCGACGACCGGCCACGCAAGAGCTTCCCCTTACGCAGCACGGTCGACGCACGGATTCACGAGGAGCACGCAATATCCCAATGCCACTTACTGCCACAAGGCAACAATCAAATGTCGCAACATCTGTATTATTCATGTTTCTGCTGATATGTTTACATGGTAGATACTGGCATGTAAATATAAATAAAAAATAGATAGATCAATATATAAATAAATAAATAAATATATATATATATATATTATATATATATGGATATATATATATGGATATATATATATATATGTGTGTGTGTGTGTCTATATTTCTATGTATATACATGCTTATGAAAACTCAGATGCTGCAACCCGTGACCCAACTGTCCCGCGGTCCTTTGCTGTTTACGGCTCATGCTGACCAAAGTGGCAAAAGGGATTTGGAGCCAAAAACAGGCGACTACGGAGAAGCAATCCAGCAACCCATCATAGATGGACATCGTGATCTTATTTTTTCGGGAGTTTACAAGGCGCATGCCACGTTTGAGCTTGCACCCAACTTTGCATGGGTGACAAGTGAGGCCAAAAGGCCGCACTCTGAAGCTAAGGCAGGTCAAAGCCCAAAAGTCAGAAGTTTGACTGACTTGCTCTCTTTCTTTCTTCCTTTCTTCCTCCCTTCCTTCCTTCCTTCCTTTATTTCTTTCTTGCTTTCCCTGTTTCTTTCTTTACGTCACTCTTTCTTTCTTTCTTCCTTCCTTCCTTCCTTAATTTCTCTCTTTCTTTATTCCTTTCTTCCTTTCTTCCTTCCTTCCTTCCTTTATGTCTCTCTTGCTTTCCCTGTTTCTTTCTTTACTTCACTCTTTCTTTCTTTATTTCTTTCTTTCTTTCGTTCTTTCTTACTTTTTTTCTTTCGTTCTTTCTTTCTTTCTTCCTTCCTTCCTTAACTTCTCTCTTTCTTTATTCCTTTCTTCCTTCCTTCCTTCCTTCCTTCCTCCTTCCTTCCTTCCTTCCTTTCTTTCTTTCTTTCTTTCTTCCCCTGTTTCTTTCTTTCTTTCCTTTCCTGATTTTGTTTTTTTTGATCCATGGCTTTTGCCTTTATTTCGTGATAGTTTCCCTGTGTTTTCTCATGTTTTCTGGATTTTGTTTTTTTTTTTGATCCCTATTTGTTTTTTTTTTTGATCCCTCTCCCGTTGTAAAGGGACTGCCACGCAATCCTGTGCAGAATGCCAAACGCCAGCCAAGAAAGCAGTTTCACCCTGAGCGAAAATAAAGATAATAATATGTAATAATAAAGAATAGCCTAGAAAAAACATTCATGACCAGAATCTGTTGGAAGACCAAGCGGAAGCAAGTGTTGCTGGCAGGGACAATGGTGCCTCCAGCCTGCACGTCAGTGCAAGTCATGTTCATCGCATCCTCTGCTTGTTCCTCCAAAGCATGCAAGGCCTCCTTTGTGAAGGTTGTGACTGGCCAAGCCACCATCGTCAAGCTCGGATCGGCATAGTTTTGATTCACCTTCTGCGCCGTCCACATGTAGTTGCTCTCTGGTGTTTCGAAGATGCCCCCCCATTCATAGGGATGGTCCCCAGCACCAAGCGTCAGCGTGAACCTCATGGTTAAAAGAAATCCAAGATACTCGGATTTCATGGCGGGATGTGGGGCCAAAGCTGGACACTCAGGTTCTTGATCCGCAAGACTCTCCGAAATACTTTCAAAAACCTAGTGCGAGCACTGACCTAGCCACGTGTGGATATGAGCAGGCAAAACCGCTGGGTTCAATGTCGCCAGGCTGTAGCACATGTCACAAGTGGTCAAATCCAAGCTGGGCATTGCCTAGTCACATCTAGCCACTCCCTTACCGTTTCAAACCCTGATGTTGTAGGTCAATCCAATGAACCGAATTTTCTCAACGAACACACGCGTCAGCAATCCCGGTTGAATCCGTACCCGCGATTTCAGCAGTCATGCTCCTTCCACCAAGCCTAGTGCACCTTGATCGCAATTGAATCCAATGAGTATGAAAGAGAACGCGCTGCAAATTTCAAGGTAGTTTTCAGGCAACGAACCAAACCAGGAAGAATTAGTACAGGCTCGCTTATTTTCCTTATTTTCCTTGTGCTGGACGATGATACAAAGGTGAAACAAGGTGAAACGATCTCTCTGAGTGAAACACGGCCAAACCTCTGGCAAGTCATGGAAACCGAATGGAAACCCAAAAAATCTGAACGCTTTTCGGGCCCTTCTCTCACTAAGTCACGGCCCTCTTGGCCAACAGGTTTGGCAGTGAGCCAGTTGCTTTTAGCACAAACTCAGTTGCAGCCTGGACAGACAGTGGCGGACAGTGATGGACAGAGACCACACTGAGCAGGGAAGCGCAAGGAAAGCTCAAAGAGTCCCTGCGTCTCACGCCTCATGCGTTGTTGGTCAGAAGCGGGAGCGTCTTTTTTTGCACCGTGTAGGTGACATGCCCCGTCCTCGGCGTAGGACCCTTTCAGCATCAACCCCATGGTGTTTTTGCAGAGGCCGATCAAACTTAATTGTATGAATGAATTAAATAGAATTACAAAATCATGAGACATCACTAGTTGCAGGGCCGCAACCACGGCTGGGTTTTACATACGTAGTGTATTTGGTCAATTTGTGGAGGTTTTGGTCCGATACCTGACACCACAGAGTTTCACCATGCTTCACCTCTAGAGTCGACGGGTGCGCATCCGCGCTGGAGGACTGGGGCGTTTGGATGGGGGCTCGGCGCCGTCATCAAAGCCTCAGAGACAACAAAAGACAAGAAACAAAGACACCAGAAAGACAGGAGAAAGACACGAGTCAACCAATCAAATGGGTCAAACAACAACTTGGCTCGAGAGTCCCGAGCGTTCCATCTGCAAGGCTGTCTGCATCTCTTGAACATTCCTTCATGCTCTGCTCCAAGTGCACTGCGACAATTAAATCTGGACAAGCAGATTTACAGGCTGAATTGCAAGGTTACACCGGTTACACCTGATCCAAATGAGCGCTCTCGACAAGGCACCAGGACCACCAGGACTACCAATACCGCACTTCATAGCGCAGCTTCAGCATAAAGTTCTTGGAACCAAATCGTTTCGATGCTGAATATTCTGCTGGATATTCGGATATCTCCTTGCATATCCATGGATGTCAAAGGTGTCTATAAACTATAAGTGCACTTCAAGGGAAGAAAAAGGGCTTCCTGTTCAGTGTATTGTATGTGGGGAGCCATGTGTCAAAGGCGAGAGCCAAGTAAATGATACAGAAAACAATGAGTTCTTCAGAATGGTCGTAAGCCAATCTGGCAGCTTGTTGCTCCTAGGTGGTTGCGTGTTCTGAGGTTCGAAATGCAAAGCCGTGATGCATGCTCCCTGGGATACCACTTTTTTTTGCAGCACAGCAGCTGTAAATGTCTTTGCATTTGTCAGAATCTTGACTTTAACATATCTTTATAGAACGCTGAGCCAAAAAGGCAGCGGCAAGTTTGCTGACCTTCCACAAACAAACACAAACAACGGACATATACTACATATACATGCTTCTACAAACAAAGGTTCCTATGCTTCTAGATGCTTCTACATGCTACCCCTGGGATCCATGTCCAAAGATGGGAAAGCTGAGGACCCGTGTAGCACATGTCCAACTGGCATCTAAGTGCCACGTGTCTCCTCTTGTCATGCATCATACAAACCACGTGCAAACCACGCCCAAACCTGAGCATGTCCTGCAGCCCTTGTCCCCCATGCAGTCACAATTGTCGTCGTCTGCGGGGCTTGCGACATAGTGATCACAGTGGATGCAACGAGAAACCATCAGTCCGCATGACGACCAGCTAGAATTGTTTCATCCATCGCACGCTGTTGTACATCTCAAGCAGCTTTCGGCCAAGAGAGAGTGGGCATGGTTCACAACAAAACAAAATATTATGTGGCATCATCCTGGCACTCATTTCAGATTCTTGGCTGGAACTTGGGGTTCCACAGTCCTTGAGCCTTGTGTAACCATTCCCACTGAGTCACCTGCGTTGCCAACTTTTGAAGGCCAGCAGAACGGTATCAGTTCAGCTGAGGGAAGACTTCACAACTGCGGTAGATATCCAATCGTGGAGGGTCTACGTTGCCCTTGCGCTTGCATATCATGAAGAAAACGATGCAGCAATTCCATGCAATTCCTGAATCAAACCTGCCGGGATATGAAAGCTAAGGGCCGTCTGTGCAAGTATGGGTCTGTTCGACCCATCTCCATATAGCTTCCCACTACAAAAACAAGGTGCAAAAATGGTGGAAGAGCCTGCTTCGCAGGACGAAATGCTACCCCTCAATGCCCAGCAGGGCCTTGCGAATCTTACCCCTCAATGCCCAGCCGGGCGTTGGCAATTTTGCCCCTTAATGACCACCACCATGTGCGTCACCGTGTCCCCCACCATGGCCTCCATGACCCTCGCCTCCTTCAGGGACGCAGTGCTCGTGGCCAATCAGTATCAAGCCGATCACAATGGCTCCCAGCACAAAAGCCGCAAAAGCTGCCAGACGCTGCCCGAAGCCCAGCTTGGGGTCATACAGTTTGGGCAGGCAATCTGTGGCACCCAGGTGCAGGTACACACCGCCGCCAAAGGCTAGGATCAAACCAATGGTAGCGTCATCAACTTGTGCAGAAAGCACTATGGCAGTTCCGATGAGCACGCTGGTACCACTGATGAAATTTGCAGCCAAAGCCTTCAAGGATGTTCAAGGATCTCCCAGGATTTTGGATTTGGCGACTTGAATCTGAAAACATGTGTTTCTTCGATAACTTCGATCCCCTACATCTTTTGGGCATGAAGTGCGTTAAGGATTCATTGTAATACATTGAAGGATCAAACATGCAACACTGCACAACACTGCACACAGGTATAAGCCAAAAGCACAAGCACCAACCAAGCGCACGAGCCAACCCAGCGGCCCAAGCCTTTGCGATGCCCAAAGCAACATCTGGGCCCGTTAAGATCACAAAATCAGCTACCTCCTGGGGTAGTTCATGCAGAATGGTGCCGACAATCACGCTCCAGCCAAAGGAGTTTCCGCAGCCTTTGAAGGCTGCGCCAATGAAAAAACCGTCACAAAGGTTGTGGAAGAAGTCTCCAATGACAACTGCTCCTACAAGCCGAGCTGTGGCCCTAAACTTGGCGACTGGATCCTCTGTCTCTGCCTTTCCCGCCTCAACAGAAGACTCCTCACCAGAGGGGGAGGCCGCAGACCCACCCTTGACCGCCAGCATGATGATACTGCAAATCGTCTCCACCACAGGTGGCAAGACCAGGCCGGCCAAGATCATGGTCCCCCAGCGCCAAACCACATCAACCTCAGCACTCCATCCCACTGCCACCAGGTGAGTGGCTTCAAAGAGGAGCAAGAAGAAGGCGCAGGCCAACAAAGCACCGGCTGCGAAGGCAAAGAGCATGGCACCAAAGAGAGGCCTCGCTGACATTTTCTTCACAGGAGGGAACAGCAGAAACACTCCAATGAAGGTGGCCAAGTTCACAGTCAGTGCTCCTAGCATAGGAGGGCCCCAGTCAGTAGTCTCTTCAGTCGCTTTTGCCGCTGCCTCCGGGATGGTCGCCTTCGGCTCGATGTCGTCGCCATGATCGTCCTTGAGGTAGTGGGCCGTAGCTTCAAACTCGGTGGGCACGTGGTTGGTGAAGAAGGCAATGCCTGCTGCCGAGCTGGCGTCGATGTTGTAAAGGGACTGCCACGCAATCCTGTGCAGAATGCCAAACGCCAGCCAAGAAAGCAGTTTCACCCTGAGCGAAAATAAAGATAATAATATGTAATAATAAAGAATAGCCTAGAAAAAACATTCATGA